GGGTGGTAGGCTCAGGGGCATATGCTCAGGGGGAGCTTGATGAGGGGGGGATCGGCCCAGGGGGGAAGCATCGAGCTGAAGACGGCGTTACGTCGACGACAGATCGGCGACAGGCCGCCCCCAGGAGCGAACCCGCACGTTCCTTGGGCGGGGCAGGCCATCCGGCCCCTATCATCCCCTATGCGCTCCTCCCCTGTGCCTATCCCTCCCATCTAGGAAGGCACCAACTATACACCAACTCCGATCCTGGCCAGGATCACCCTGGGTCCAGGGTCGGTGAACACGCCCTCCTGCCGTTGGCAGAATGCGAAAACACTGATCCTGGGCCAAGGATCGTGCTGGCCAGGATCGGTGTAGGTGCAATGGTGCCCTCCGACCATCGTTGCCCGTGATGACCCTCCGCGTCCCGCCCCCCCCCAGAGCGAGGGGAGATGTCGGGAGGACGACAGGGATTCGCCGCGGCTGCCCGAGCTGGCCGCGCCCCTCCCCCTCCTCTCCTCTGAGACCCCGCTGCAGCTCCCCGGGAGCAGTGGACGGCGGCCCAACTAATTGAAGCCAAAATGCCTGCGCGACTGCCGCTGAGCGTGCGCATGCGAGGCAAGGGCCCCACCCCACACATTGGCACATTGGGGATCGGCTACACACGAAAGAGTGACCAATCGTGCGCGACTTGCGGGAACGGCGGAGAAGCCGAGTCGGAGCGCGCAAGCCGCTGCTATCGCGTCGCTTTCGGCCTTCTGGGGACCCCAGTGTTCCCGCACCAGAGGTCACTCCAGCGAAAGCTCACTCTGAAACTACGTATAGCCGAAGGGAGGGGGGCTCGTCGACACCGCTAGGTCAGGCTCAAGCCTGCCTGTTGGGCAGCCATGCGACTCCCTCTGCACGAAAATCACTGGCCGAAGTGTGGGCCCAACCGCCGTCAGACACCGCAGCCCTAGGAGCAGGGAGAGGGAGCCTCACGATCCCCGATGCCCGCGCCGTCGCTGCAGGGGAGCGCACAATGCCGCACCGGGGTGCAGGTCTGAGCCAGGCCGGGATGCTGCCAAGCGGGGGGCCATGTCCAAGCTGGGGCATCCGGGAATCTCAGGGCGGGGATCGGGGCCTCGCCATCGCTCGGACGTCCGTTCCCCGTGCACGTGTCGGTTTCGCGCGTGAATTGTATTTTTCGCAAGGCGACCTCATGTGCTCCTCGATGGCCCTCGCCGAGAAACAATGCACACGTCCGAGCGATGCCGAGGGGCTGTTTGGGGCTCATGACAACGAACAACACACACCCACACCAAAAGGGCTGCGGGGGCCATGGATGCGTGCTGTCGGATGAGGCTCCCCGCTCGAACGGGAGCATGTGCCGTTCGTTCGTCAATCCAATGTTTCCCGCCCCCCTCGGTCCCCGTACCCGCGCACGGGCTTCTCACTTGGCACTCGGCAGCTTTGGACAGACGAGCAATGGCTTCCGGACGGAGGGCGGAGGTCACCGACGTCGAGGACGCCATCGGCGTCGCCCGTCGTCACAATCGCGGCCGACGCCGCCGCCGTCGTCGTTGTCGCCGTCAATGCGGAGGTCGTCGACGTCGAGGGCGGAGGTCCCCACCGTCGAGGGCGGAGGTCGCCGACGTCGAGGACGCCATCGGCGTCGCCCGTCGTCACAATCGCGGCCGCCGACGCCGCCACCGTCGTTGTCGCCGTCAGTGCCTGCTCTGCCTTCCGACGCCGAGGTGCATGGCTCGGCCCGTGGCCCCCAGAACCCTCGACTCCTTCCCTGGGGCTACGCCTGTCCACGTCCGCCTCCTGCTCCGACGTCGCCCTCGTTGCCGCCTTGGACATCACCGCCGTCGTCGAGAATCGGACGCAAATTCGCGGATCGATAGCACAGCCATCGCGCCGCATCAAACAACGCCACACTGAGAACAAAGGGGCGTTTCTGGCACCCGACCATGATTAGGTAAGGCCCGGTGGGCACCATTTTCTGCGCGCTCGACACTTCTTGTCGGGGAGACGTAAGACCCGGGTACAGGTGACTCGGAAATCCCCGACGCGGTCGTCAAAAAAATGACGAGGCCGAGCCTGCATTTTGACGAGGCCTCCCGCTGCAGACATCCCACGAAACTCCTCCTCGTCAAAATCCGAGGCGCGGTCGTCAAAAAACGATGGCGAACCCGAGTCCTGGCAAACCCGGGTCTTACGCTCCCCCGATCTTGTACCTGTGGAGGAGGCGGAGAAAAGTGAGGGAATCCGATAGGGGAGGACCACCGGCAAGACCCTCCATGTGGGCAGGCACCGCATCTTCTGCACCTGCAAGTTTGCCGCCAGCGTGATGCCCGTTGGAAAATAAGATGCCGAGCGAGACGACGGCCAAGATGCCCAACGAGGCCTCCACGAGGACTCCTGAGAGGGCCCCCTAGACGTCCCAAGAGGGCCCAAAGACGGCCCCAAGAGGGGGCCCAGATGGGGAGCCCGAAAGGATATTTTTAGTCCTCGGCCCCGACGGGCCCTCAGGAGGCCCCAAGAGGCCCCCCAAAGGCCCCCATGAGGCCCACAAGAGACCCTATGAGGCCCTCACGAGGCTCCCACGAGGCTCCCAAGATGCCCCCAAACTGCTCCCAAGAGGCCCCCGAGAGCGCTTCGAAAAGACCCGAAGAGGCAGCTCTGAGAACTCTGACCCACAACCCAGGCACTGTTGCCGGATGGGACGAAGGCCATTAGATACCGAGCGAGACGACCGCCACGAGCGAGTCGACCGCCAAGACCTCGGTGAGACCAGTAGTAAATTGAGAGACAGAAGGGGTGGATGAATAGACGATGATCACACAGGGACGAGGAATGGAGCAGGAAACGGGCCCGATTGAGACATGGCTGCGCGGTCCGCGCGTTGGGCGCGCTTCTGACGTTCGTACCGGCTCTATTGCTCGTCGCGGCACTTGTCGCGCCTTGGCCGGGCGACGTCTTTCGAGGGAGGAACAAAGAAGGCATACACATAAACTTTCGGAACTCCGCGCGGACTTCTTGGATCTGCGCTTGGGCCCCCTGGCGGCGCCTCCGGCGCCGCCGCTGGTGCGCTCCGCGCGCCAACAAGAAAATGCGCAGATCTGAGAAATCCGCGAGGAGCGTCGAAAGTTTATGTTTATGCCTTTCTGTTCGTCTTCGATCCCTGGAGGGCTGTCGCCAAGCGCTTGGCGCGCCCGCGTTCGACGGAACTTCATCGGCGCCACCACTAGGAGGAGGAGGAGGAGGAGGAGGAGGAGGAGGAGGAGGAGGAGGAGGAGCTCCAGCAGCATTGCCCGGCGGGTTTCAGTTCGGAGGGCGCCAGCTGTACACCTGCACCGAGCCAGGTAGGGAACGAAGAGGCTGGGGATGAGGAGCGAGGGGACGAGGAGGCTGGGGACGGGGAGGCTGGGGACGAAAAGGGGACGAGGAGGCTGGGGACGAGGAGGGGACGAGGAGCTAGGGAGGGGACGAGGAGGCTGGGGAGGAGGAGGCGGGCGAGGGACGAGGAGGCTGGGGACGAGGAGGCGGGGAGGGTTGGGCGTCCGTGCCTCGCTGACCTCGCACGTCTTTTGCTCTGCCTGAACGTTCTTTCTCACGCTCTGGTCTTGCCGGATGGAGGAGCACCAGCTTGACAGAGAGGTTGTGGCCGGCTGGAGGCGCGACGAGATGGGAGAGCATTTTCGGACGTGGCCTGGTCATACTCTTGACCAGCAGGGATATTGTTCACAGGGTGATTGGAAAACAGCTTGGGGTTGGGGTGCTGTCTAGGTCGGCCGCGTTCGTGGTTACACCTTGTTGGACTCCTCTCGGCTTCATGCCGGCAAGAAGCCGATAAGGAAAGGCCCTCGGTGGGGGCATCGACCCAGGAAGGCGGTGGGAGGTTGGTGGGGCGAGGGTGAGGACATGTGGGAAAGGAGGACGACGAAAAAGAAGCCGCGTCTGTGTTCGCAACTTGATGTAAGACCCTCGGCGAGGGATGGCGGCTAGAATCGCATCGGGCCAGCAGTGCCCGTGTACATCCATTGCGAAAGTAGGTGCAAATGTGGACTAATAAGGTCCCTCGATGAGGGCAGCAGGGTGGAGGTGAAGGCATGGTAGGTGGTTGGATGTCGTTGGGGGTGTAGAGGTGGAGGTGTTGAGACACAGAGCCGTTGCGTGCGCTCCACTTGTCCACCTCTGTTTGCCCTTCTTCTTCATGGTGTACGCACTGCTCGCTACATGCTTTTGCGCTACGTGTGTTTGTGCGATCACGCATGTGTTCCCTTTATCTGTTCTGCACCTGCGTTCAAACGCAACGGCCTTCCAGCCAATGTCGGTCTAGCGTAAAAGAAAATTTCTGGATGCGGCGGGCCACGGCCACGAGTTCCCCGACCTCGATCCCAAAAATAGCCCGAACACCAAACGCACTCTCAATTTCAAAGTGGTCCGTATTCCAACGTCTCGACTGCATGTGAAAGTGGTGCGATTGTTTGCCATCGAGAACTGTTGTCCTCCCCAGGATTTCCGCACGTCCGACGCAATAATTTCCTCGCTAACTGTTCCAAGTTGCTTTTGGGACGGCGCAAGTTGAGACCCGTGCCGCCTTCCCCGACCCCAAGACATAATACGCAAGCAGGATACATATACATTCGGACGCGGGTAGACAGAGAATCTCTGAGAGCCAGCGGGTCTCGAGGACGCATGAGGCGCCGCGGCCGCGCACAAACGCCCTGCAACCACACGTGTCCCCTACTCCTGCAGGCCGGATGGCCGAAACAACCGATTGTGTCCAGAATTTGCGGGTGAACCCCAGCGGGTTGTCCGATACCCCAGCCTCGATTGGACCCGTAGGGGTAATGCTCAAAACGGGTCGCACAGTCGCGACGTCGGATGTGTGAGCAGGCTGTATATGTGTATATATGTATGTGTATATCTACGTATATATGTATATCAAGCATCATCGTCAACACCACCACCATCATCGTCATCACCATCTTCATCAGCATCAACATCATCATAATCAGCATCGGTTATATCACGGCAGATGGCGGACAATCGCAGCGAGCCTTTTCTTCGCGTTCCCGCCCGCGGATGCCTTCGGCAAGGGGCCAGGTCGCGAGAGAACCTGGGATTGCTACCGAGCGATCGAGGCGCGGCGGGTAGTCCTCCTCCTCCTCCTTCTCAGCACACCCCCTTTCTGCAGCATGCTCTCGCCCCCCCTCATCCTGCGCCTCCGCATGTTCCTTCTTCTCATCCGCCCATCATCCTCATCCCGAGGAGGGAGGGGGGAGGCGGAGAAGGAGGAGGAAGAGGATGCGAAGACGAGGAGGAATGGTATGCTGGTGGGGCCCAAGGGTGAAGATAACAATCCGCCGACGGCCTCGCGCCGAGACGCGACAATACACGACGGGAACCTCCCAGGAGGGGGGGTGGGAAGAGGAGGAGGGGGGACGAGTGCATCCGTCGGGGGGGGGAAACAAAACTGGAAAGAGGAGCGGCCCATGGACCCACCTCAGTCAACCTCTTCCACCTCGGAACCAGGAAGGACCTCAAAGTCCTTAAATGTGTGGTCGACGGCGCAGGAGCCAAAGGGAGTGGGTCGCAGGCCACTTCCCGCGCCCAAAAAGTCGGGTTACGCAAGCGATCTCAGGACACAAAACACGCGGGCAGCTCCCGCGGCAGTCCTGGCCGAGCTTCTGGGTGTTGTGTTCACTGTAAGCGCCGCGTGCGCTACAGACCACAAAAGGGCCCTACCGTCCAGACACGGTGGCCGACCCCTGGGCCACAGGGTGCAGACTTGAGGGTTTTGCCGGTGCCGCCAGATCTGAGGCACCTGGCGCACCTGCAGCCCCTTTGAGGAAACCAGACGGGGTCGTGGGCGCCCTCGGGAGGCGCAGCATCGTCGGACAGAGCAGAGACGGGACGATCTGGCGCCCCCGACGTAGCCCCACCTCTCGCATGGAGGGAGACGAGAGGCCAGGCCCCGCAGCCCGAATAGTCCTAGCCAAGTACTTGCCTACATACTTCACCATAAGATGGAAGCGCTCAACGAGCTCGCGGGCAGCCTCGCACACGGGATGCATATGACTGCCCGCGCGGGCGGAGCCGTCGGCAGCTCTGTTGCCGAAGCGGCGCCATCTGGCGCCCTCGTCGCGGCCATCATCGCGCACGATCGCATGGCCTTTAACCTTGATCACCCGCGCGTCGCCGCCCAAGTTCCGAACAAGCTCCCAGACACACTCCCAGAGGTCAGCACAAGCATTCATCGCCCCGGTGGTCTCGGTGCGTCCCTTCTGACAGCTGGACACCACCCAATCACAATCATAAAGGATTTCGTAGGGATCGAGCCCGACGCTACCGAGATACATCTTGAAAGCACAGTGTTCGCTTACTTCAGAGCTCTTGTGGTGGCCTGCGAGGGGTTCGCAAAGATCCGCGAGAACGTCAAGCCCACTCGAATTCACCTGGGCAACCCCCCAGCCAGCTCTCCGAGTCCTGGGATCACTGGCGATAAACGCGGACACCATCACCGAAACATGGCCCCTCAAGACACCCCGACGCGTGACGGACACGCCTGTCAACGAGCCGGTCCATCGTGGGGCGAGGACGCCAGGCGCGAGGGTCCGCGACCAACGCATGCTGCCAGAAGGGCCAATCTGGCTGATTGTTCGCTCCCTCCAGGAGCGAGGGTGGGACCATATACTCGCGCCGATAGGCCCATGTGCACGCGCAGTCGCCCCACCGCCGGTGCTCCACGGTCCCGGGGCCACCCCCGCACAGCGAGCACATGGGGCCATCGCGCAACCCCAACAACGGAGCGCGGCCCCGTGCGAACCAATTCAATCGACCTTGGATTTCTGGGCGACGACGTCCTTGAGAGGGACGAGGAATGGGGCGTGAGAGAGGTGCCTGAGATATCCATCTTCACATCTGGCCTCATCTAAATTAAGAGCCAGGCCTCGACGCCCCACTGCGCCGCCATCTTGTCTTGACAGTGCGGGGGCACCCGCGGCAGAAGCCAAGGATGGCGCCATCTGCCGCGCACAGCTTGCCCACCCCTGGTCCTCAGGACCAGCCGATCCTGATGCGTGAGGCTAGGGCCGGAGAGACGGGCCCAGCGACCTCACTCCAAGCCTGCTTCGCACCTCTCAACGCCCGATCAGCCGCGGATAACATCCCAGTCAGCACCTCTCTGGGTTCCCAAGAGTCCCACAACGCTTAAACACGCATCGCGATAGGGTTCACTGTGCATGGGTAAGCAAGATCCACGGCGGCCGCGTCGCCAGGGATGAGTGCCAAGACTATGGTGAGGGAGCGACGAGCCGTATGTGACTAAGGATGCACGCGCAGCCCATCTCAGGGCCATCGCACCGCTCTACGATCGGCCTGTAACCCCGTCTCCCCAAGTTCCTGCGGGGGCGAGCCCCATGCCCACCAACTGCTTGTTCTTCCCTCTCGCTCTACGCAACGCGCGGATTTCTACGCAGCGCCGCTGCGCACGGCCCAGTCGGTCAAGACGGGTCGCGTTGCCCGCCCTCTTGCCGCAGGCGAAGCCGCAGTCCAGCTTCCGCGTCGAGTGGGCCCTGGCCTGCGCCAGAGCCGGGCACGCGCTGCCGAAGTCCTTCGCCGCGTGGAGATCGTTCCCCACGATCTTGCCCTTCTTATCCTTGAGACATAGGCCTGACCCGATCAGCTCCTTACGCGCCTGCCAACGCGCCGCGCTGACCTGCCTGACCACCGTGCGTCGAGCCCCCGTGGCCTGCAACTGTATATCACCCACCACGCTGCCGACTGAGATGCCTGGCGCAACCGCGAGGTCGCCTGGCATGTGGGCGAGGAAGATGCGCGTCACCAGGTCGGCCAACGAGCAACCTGCCACTGCGCCGCGCCTGGGGGCCAACAGCTCGATCACAATGCCTTCGAACGACAGCAGCCACGGCGTCGCATAGAGGGCGACCAGCAGACTGAGCAGCCTCATGTTGAAAACAAGGGCCTCGTCCCGAGCCTGCAGCCTGCGCCAGGCGATGTACTCGTGCGCCTTGGAGAGGTCTGGGAGGGGAGACAGGCCCGTCGCGTTGCATGACGTAGCCCATTCACCCGCAGCAGCCTGTCGCAACACACAGGCCTCGCAGTTCTGGCCCTCTGCCCCGAAGATGTAGCTGCGTCTGACCTGGTCGGGCCAGCGAGCCCCCCGTGTCGATCGCAGCCAGTGTGTGAGTGGTCGCACAGTGCCTGGAAACATGCCAATGGTCCTTCGTCCTCGATCGGGCTTCGGGATCAGCGCCTCTCGTAACGCTGATAGCAGCCGGTACCGATCCAAGTTGAAACATCGCGCCCCGCAGAGCGATGAGAGACTGCAGCGGCTCGTCGCTCAGGAAAACCATGTGCCTCGGGTGGGCCACGCCGCGGCCCAAGCCCGTTGCTGAGCGGAATGCGTGCGCGACCTTCCTGACATCGTCAATGGCGGGGAGCTCGACGTCGCCGAAATCGTGGGGCCATCGCGCTGCATCTGGCCCCTCGCCTTGCTTCCAAAGTGTCATGCCAGGGCCGTGCCGCATCGCGCGCTTCGTCAGCCAGTGATTTGGCATCCCCTGGGCCGGGGGCCGTGCTAGCGCAGGCCCACGGCGCGTCCTGCTTGACCCAGCCGAAGGCTCTACGCATGCCGTCGTCGGATGTGGCGTCGTGGGGCCAGTCCACCCATGCTTCGTAGCATCGGCAAGACACATGACTGGCTGGCAGCACGGCCCGCGCACCTCTCCAGGTCGGAGCCGTTGAGCATCCCGTCGCCAACGCCATTCGCGGAGCCGCTGCACAAGCCACTGCCAGTAGCCATCGCTGGCATCAGCAGCTCCCCGGCCTTGCGCCTGGCTGCGGCAGTGCATCAGGAGTGTAGACTGCACGACGCGGGCTCCCTCAGCACGTCCACGGCGACGGTCGGGCTGGCCAGCGCCGAAGTGCGGCGTCAACTCGTCCCCGCACTTGCCCAACCACTGCCCGGAAACCACGTCGAGGTCCTGCAGCGCGTCGGCCGCGCCCGCAGCCTGCTGGACGGCCCGCCAGCTTGGAGTCGGGAGCTGGGGCCCAATGAGATGCCCTGGCGGGAAAACCTTGGGCAAGTGCACCTTCCGCGCCACAATCGGCATCTGCTGGGTGCCCGCGTCGGGAATGACGCCGCGGCGTGGTGCGATGGACAAGCCATCGCGCGCGCTGGCACGGCAGCCCAGCAGGTCATGCCGCTCACAGAAGTAGTCGAGCACTCTCGCGCTCGATGCCGCGCAGCACGCAGCCTGACAAGGACCACCACAACTTTGACCGACTTGGGCCATCACGAGCAAGTGATCACATCAGGAAGATTCTGCCAGTCGCCTCCCAACGCGAACGGCCTGCCTGCTGCGTGGATGACACTGCAGATCTGGAACAGGCTGTCCAGGTTCACGTCCTCGAGGTCCTTGCACGTGTGAAGGCGCAGCGAGGACAGCGCAGCCCCTCCTTCGGCCCTGGGTTAGTGGTCCAGGAGCCCTGACGGGCGGCGCCTGCAGCATGTATGCCGTCGCGGTCGAAGGCGAGGCGTCGAAGGCGGCGCGGGGGCGTGCCAGGATGCCAACGCCTCCAGTGGCGCCGTCTCCGTTGCCAGCGCGTCGTGCTGGGTGCAAGTCTGCTCACCAGCCGCGTGCCCGAGCAGCCTTCGAAGCGGACTCGAGCCTCTGGTCGCCGATGTGGTGCTACTGGCTGGGCAGCGCCTGCGCGTCGTCACGCGCGCGCTCCTCCTCAAGCTGCGCGCGGGGGCCCCAGCCCGTCGCGCTGATCGCCATGATCCTGCGCGACGTGCCGCGGCGCTACGGCGCAGGAGGCCGCTCCGCGGAGGCCTTCGCCACATCCTTGACGGGGGGCGCCTCCTCGGAAGGGGGGCGACAGTAGCCGCCCCCGGCCCTGCTGCGCCAGGACGACGCCCCCCCCCCCCCCCCCCCTTCACTACCCACACCATCACACGGCAAGGGGGGTCTCACATCTGTGTCATTAGCCTCGCCAACTTGAGATTGCACCACGACGCGATTGCACGCGGTGGGCCGGCTACACAAAAGACCGCCAGTCCCTCGCACGTGCATCGGGACCTCCGAGGGCGCGGCTGGCGAGCGGGGCGCAGCCCCCGCGCGGCGCGTCGTCCGCGTCA